GGATAGGCACTAATTCGTCTCTGAATGTTTGGTAGAATTCATTTGTAAATCCATCAGGCCCTGGGCTTTTGTTTTTGGGGAGGTTTTTGATTACCATTTCAATTTCGCTAATTGTAATTGGTCTGTTTAGGTGTTCTATTTCTTCTTTATCTAGCTTTGGATGATTGTAGAGTTGTAAGAATTTGTCCATCTCCTCTAGATTGTTAAACTTGTTTCCATATAACTCTTCATAGTAGTTACTGATTATTCTTTTGATTTCTGCTGTGTCCGTTGTGATTTCTCCTCTTTCATTGATGATCCTGTTTATTTGTGCTTTCTCCCTTTTTTCCTTTGTGAGCCTGGCTAGGGGTTTGTCTATTTTATTGATTTTTTCAAAGAACCAGCTCTTGGTTTCATTGATCTTTTGGATTGTTTTTTTAGTTTCAATTTCATTTATTTCTGCTTTGGTTTTTATTATTTCTTTTCTTCTACTGGTTTTGGGGTTTTTTTGTTGTTCTTTTTCTAGATCTTTGAGCTTCGAGATTAGGTTGTTTCTTTGAGTTCTTTCTTGTTTCTTGATGTGAGCTTCTATTGCTATATATTTTCCTCTTATTACTGCTTTTGCTGCATCCCATACATTTAGGATATTGGTGTCCTCCTTGTCGTTCAATTCAAAGAATTTTTTAATTTCTTCTTTCATCTCCTCATTAGTCCAGTGGTCTTCCAGTAGTGTGGTTTTTAATCTCCATGAGGTAGGAAAGTTCCTTGCCTTCTTTTTATGGTTTATTTCTAGTTTGATGCCTTCATGGTCAGAAAAGATGGTTGATATGATTTCAATCTTGGTGTATCTGTTGATGTTTGTCTTGTGCCCCAGTATGTGATCGATCCTGGAGAATGATCCTTGTGCGCTTGAGAAAAATGTGTACTCCGTTTTTTTGGGGTTTAGTGTTCTATAGATGTCTGTTAAGCCCAATTGCTCTAGGTCCTTATTTAGAGCTTTGGTTTCTTTACTTATTTTTTGTCTTGTTGATCTATCCATTGTTGATAGTGGTGTGTTGAAGTCTCCCACTACGTATGTGTTTTCTCTGATGTCTGTTTTCAGAGAGGACAACAGTTGTCTGATATATTTTGGTGCTCCTTCGTTTGGTGAGTATATGTTAATGAGTGTTATTTCTTCTTGAAGTATTGTCCCCTTGATCATAATGTAGTGACCATTGGGGTCTCTTTTTATCTTTTTGAGTTTGAAATCTGTTTTATCTGATATAAGTATAGCTGTTCCTGCTTTCTTTTTTGGTCCATTTGCTTGTAGGATTGTTTTCCATCCTTTAACTTTGAACCTATTTTTATCTTTTGTAGCTAAATGTGTTTCCTGGAGACAGCAAAAGGTTGGGTTTTGTTTCTTAATCCAGGCTGCAACTCTGTGTCTTTTTATTGAAGAGTTTAGTCCATTTACATTTGGAGTTAATATTGATATGTTAACATCTGTATTTGCCATTGTGTTTGTCTTTCCTTTGATTTTATTTATTTATTCTTTTAATAACTTTTTTTTTTTTGGCCTTCTTTCATTGTTATTCGTCCCTCTGAGGTTCTGGCTTTAGGACTCCTTGTAGTATTTTTTGGAGTGGGGGTTTAGTTGCAATGAAATTCCGGAGTTTCTGTTTGTCTGGGAAAGTCCATATTCTTTCTTCAAAGAGGAAGGAGAGCTTTGCGGGATAGAGTATTCTTGGTTGGCATCTGTTTTCTTGGAGTCTGTTGACTATGTCCCTCCACTCTCTCCTTGCCCGTAGTGTTTCTTCGGAGAAGTCTGATGTCAGCCTGATTGGCTTTCCTTTGAATGTTATCTGTTTCTTCCCTCTTGCCAGCTTCATTATTTTTTCCTTGTCCTGGATTCTTGGGAGCTTTACTATTATGTGTCTTGCTGTATTTTTCCTTTCATCGTGGAAGTTTGGTGTTCTTCTTGCTTCTTGTATATCAATTTTCAGCTCCTCCTTCACATTTGGGAAGTTCTCTTCAATTATCTCTTTGAATATTTTCTCTGTTCCTACTTCTCTCTCCTCTCCTTCTGGTATTCCTATAACTCTTATATTTCCTTTCCTCATGGAGTCAGATAGTTCCCGAAGTCTTTCTTCATTCTTTTTCCTTCGTACTTCTCTTTCCTTTTCTGTTTTGGTTCTTTTTATTTCTGTGTCTTCAAGAGTACTTATTCGTTCTTCCATTTCATCAATTCTGCTTTCATTGCTTTTCCCAGAATTCTTTAGTTCTTCCATTAATTCTTTGATCTCCTGCATTTCTTTTACTTCCCTCTTTAGGGACTCAATTTCATTCTTCTGATCGTTGATTATTTTTCCCTTATCATTGTTTTCCTTTATGACTTCTGTCAGTTTTTTAATCACGGCAATTTTAAATTCTCTTTCTGGAAGGCTCAGAAGTTCTTCCAAGTTACTGTCGTTGCAATCTGGGGGCTGGTTTTCTTTTTGTGGTGTGCTTTTTCTCTGGAGAGTTGCTAGGTTGCGTGTGGTTCTCCTCCTCCCTACTGTCTGTTTTCTAATTTGCCGTATGCGTTGGGACACTGTGTTGTTGGGACTGGCCGGCATCTTGGGTGGGCTTCTCTGCTCCCCTCTGGTTCCTCCAGGAGTCATCTGTCAGTTTCAAGCAGTCTTTACTGGAGAAAGGTCCCTGTTCTACAATGCCGATGTGGGGACACACTCCCCTGTGCGCCTGGTCCGCCCCGGTGGTGGGTTCCTGCTCCCCCTCTGGGCTTGGACTGCAGGCCAGAGGGGGTCTGGCGTGGGCAAACTTCCCCCGCTCACCTCTGGCTCCTGAGGAAGCCTTCTGCAGGTAGTCTTTACTGAAGAAATGTCCCTATTCTATAATGGTGATGTGGGACACGCTCCCTGCGCGTCCGGTCTCAGGCACACTCTTCTGCGCGCCTGGTCTGCCCCGGCTGTGGGTGCTCGCTCTCCCTGTGGGCTCAGACTACTTGTTCGGAAGGGGCCCGACGTGGGCTAACTCCCCAGCTGGCCACTAGCTCCTTCAGGAGCCTGTGCTGGCTTCAAGTCGCTAGGTGGCGCCAGAGATCTCTCCTAGAGCCCTTGGGGAGCTGATTTTCCACCCCGTGGGACAGGGAGCAGAGCGGGGATGGTAGGGTACACCTCAACGACTTTGGGGTGCTGTGTCTGCCTTGTGCCCCACCGTCGTGGGGAACCCACGCCCCTAATTTCGTGCCCTGGGTCTCAGTTCCAAAGCCCTCAGTTCCAGGACGTGGGCTGTAGCCCAGTTCAGTGGCGCGGGAATGGCGCCTTTTGAATCCCGCTCCCCTGCCTGGGCGCCTGGTTCCTGCTCACTCAGGGAGGGCCTCCGCGGGTCTCCCCGCAAGCCTAGGTCGCAGGCGCGGGGACCTGGGCAGCTGCGATCCGATCTGTATCCGCGTTTGCTTTTCAACCGCACTGCTTTTCAGCGCGATCCGCGCCGCTTTTCCGCGCAATCCCGCTCCGCGCCTGTTTTTCCAGCGCGCCGCTTTCCGCGCAAGCTTACCGGGCGGCCGTGGCCGGGGCTGTGTGCTGATGCTGGTCTCCTCCTGGGCGGGGTCTCTCTTCAATGGCGCCCGGAGCTCACCTCTGCGGCGGATCCTGCAGGGTTCTCCACAGCTCCCGTTCACGGGGTGTGGTGGCTGAAATAGTTCCTTTCCACTCCCAGTCCCGCTTGCTGTGTCGTTTGTTCTTGTTGGTCGTTTTAGTTTGTTGTTTTCCTCCTCTCTGCCGGTTGGAGAGTGCCGCCTCTGTGGGCGGGGGAGGGGAGCAGGGTTATGCGCTTCCCTCCCTTCTGGTCCTCTTTTATGGCAACTTTCTTCTTCGGGCAGTTTGCTGGAGTTACCCGTTTATCTTCCGTGTCCCGGTTCTCACTGGGACCTGCCGCTTTTCCTCCCTATTAACTTTTTTTAATGGGAGATCTTACTCGCAGCGTCTCCTCGCCGCCATGTTGCTCCAGGGGGTGTTATTTTAGATTAAAAATTAAAAAATACTCAACCAAAGCACTCACAGGATCTTCTGATCCATTGCTGTGTATTTTTTTAAAATTTATTTATTTGTTTATACAAGCACTGGGTACAGTCAGAAGCACGGGATGGTGAGAGAATTCAACAGAGCCAGAGTGGGGAGCAGAGCAGGCAGACTGATGAAATACATTGCTGCGGGGAGCAGCAGGTGTGGCAGGAGAGGTCTTTTCACCATGTGAGGCCTTTGCCGGTGGCCGGGAATTGAACCGGCACTGCAGAGGCTGCAGGTGGCTTCACAGTCTAGCGCTCAACCGCCGTGCCACCGGGGAGGCCCCATTGCTGTGTATTTTTAATCCCTATCTTTGTGTAGGGAGGCCCAGGTTAAGAGCTGGGTTTTCTGTGGTGTCTCAAAGATGGAGAAATAATGGTTCATACTTGTAGAGCATTTTAAAACTAGCTAGTTTCTCTTTTTAACTTTTTTTGCAATGTTCTTTTAAGTATCTTGTTTACCTAGCATATTTGATGATGTTCTGTAGCCAAGTTTAAATAATTATTAAAATTATTGAATAATTAGATTATTAATACTCATCAATATAATCTATTAAGCGCTATTAAATAATAATACACTACTAACTGCCAAATTATTTAATGATTAGATTATTAATGCTAATCTGCTGGTCATGGGGCTTAGTATCAGTCAATTCTGTCATTCGTTTTAAGTTTTTCTACAGCTGGATTCTCCCAAGGGCAGTTTAAATAAGATTAACCACATCTAGAACCCATGAGTCATGATACTGTCTTCTGCAAATGTTGGTGACTTCCCCATGGACCCCACTAACCAATTATCCCGTAACTTAGTAGGGACCCTACACATGTCTCTGGGCCCCAGGTTTCCTCAACTCTAAAATGAGGGGGTTGGGAGCAGAGAGAATTAGACTAGATGATAATTAATATCTCTTTTCGCTCTAACCTTCTGCAAGGCTCAAGTTCTAACCAACGACATATTCTTGAATCCTTTCTGTTGCAGACATTAGCTCCATCCTCTGGCTCTGGTGAAAAATGATATATTCTTGGGAGCGATTGTGGTACATATCCAGCCCCATACTTGGAATGGGTAAGGACACAAGGACCCAGAACCCAGCATGAGAGGCTGTAGGGTAAGGAAAAATGTCAGGCTTTTCTGCCCTCCTGCCATCAGGATAGATGATGGATCCTTGGGGTCCTGAATGCATGCCTGATGGCGGGCACCTGGAGTAGGGTGTGGGCATATGTAGATGGTATTCACCTGGGCTAAGACGGGGCTTTTAAGGGCGGCGTTACGGGGACGCCAGCAGAAGCCGAGAAGAACAGAAGCCAAAAGAGAAGCTGAGAAAGAAGCAGCAGAAACCGAGAGAGAAGCAGAGATCACCGGAGAGCCCAGATAGAGTGCAGATTTGCTGGAGGCTGAGAGGCCTGCCAGCCTCCCGGCCCCCCAGCACTCCTGCCTGCTGTGTACCGGGTAAATCCCAATAAAAGACCTGCAAAAGGTCTGAGGACTCTGACTCCTCCATTACCCGATCTGCATGGGATCCTAGAAAACCTGCACTGTGTCCAGTCCTGCCTTACAATTGGCATAAGTTGGCAAGATGATCCATGCAGACGGGTATGGAGCCCTCCGAAGACCTGGAGGGACTAAGGAGTAACAGACTGTGTTTGCCTGTGACGACACTAGAGGCACCATGGCGGCACAGAAGGTGGACACCATCCGGGAGCTGCGGGACGAGACCTCAGCTGGAGGAGGAGACGCCCGAGAGGACCAGCCAAAGACCCCTGAGGCAGCAAGAATCGTTGGGAAGAGAGGGCCACGATTCGGAGCTCGCTGGTGCTGATGCAGGGAGAGGCCAATGAACTTGGACTGATGGACTTGGACTGATAATCCCGCCAGAAGGTGGAGGACCTTGGCAGGTTATTGTTTTTTTGAGAATCTGGGGGTGGCCAGTGGGCCTTGATGGCCAAAAGCAGCCTGGGTATGTCCAGCAGCCAGGCAGAGGAGAAAAGCCAACTGAGAAGGCAAAAGCAGGTGCTGATGCTAAGTTTGGGAAGCCTTGAGCGGCTGTTAAGCATCCTGGGTATGCTGAAGACCTGTGAGTCTCATAAAATCACCTGTGGGTGATGCCCTGCTCATTCTTGAGTGAGGGTGAGGAGCTGAGGAACCCGTCCTTGGGGGACGGGTGGGGAATGTGGCTTGGGGTGGAGCCCAAGCCAAATGTAGAGTTTGGATCCCCGACCCATGTGCTTGTGCAGTGGGTTGGCCTGAGTGCAGGGGTCTGCGTGTCGCATTGGTGGCTGTGAAAGCAGAATGTTGGAACAACTGCAGACAGAAACCCTGAGGGTTGGCGACTGCCCCCAAAAGCATACAATCGCCAATCCCAGAGCGAGTGCATCCTGGGGGTGGATGCTGTGTGTGGCTTGTAGCTGAGACTACAGCCAGAGAAGATCAGGAAACCTGACGGCTCCTGGCGTGTTACAGTAGATGCCGTGAGTGGTTCCCCTCCCTCGTATGAGCAGTGCCTTCGGCAGCAGATGTGGTGGCTCATCTGCTGGTACCAATAATTGTCTTATGCCACTAGGTTGGAGCCCTGCCTGGACTTATTTGTGTTCTGTTGTATTTTGTTGTTATATTGTAATGCATTTGCTTTTGTGGGCCATGGCTGCGTTGTTTGTTTCCTAAGAAAATTGTCTATATGAAGATTATATGGCAGAAAACCCTGAGGGGGTGGACTGTAGGGTAAGGAAAAATGTCAGGCTTTTCTGCCCTCCTGCCATGAGGATAGATGATGGACCCTTGCGGTCCTGAATGCATGCCTGATGGCGGGCACCTGGAGTCCCTACTCCAGGTGTGGGCATATGTAGATGGTATTCACCTGGGCTAAGAGGAGGCTTTTAAGGGCGGCGTCATGGGGACGCGAACAGAAGCCAAAAGAGAATCTGAGAAAGAAGCAGCAGAAGCCAAGAGAGAAGCAGGGAATGCCGGAGAGCCCAGATAGAGTGCAGATTTGCTGGGGGCTGAGAGGCCTGCCAGCCTCCCGGCCCCCGAGCACTCCTGCCTGCTGTGTACCGGGTAAATCCCAATAAAAGACCTGCAAAAACCACTGAGGACTCTTGACCCCTCCTTTACCTGGTCTGCATGGGATCCTAGAAAACCTGCACTGTGTCCAGTCCTGCCCCTACAGAGGCGTTAAAGAGGTCCATGGGAGCAGGCATGACTTGAATCAGATAAGATTAGAGATGACTGTCTTAAAGCAGTGGCCCTCAAAGTGTGGCTCCTGGAGCTTCAGCAGTCATGCTGGACCATACATGGAGTCATGCACGGAGGATGATGGAGAAGGATGTTGGAAAGATCTTAGTCCTTGTTGATTGCATATCAATTATAGACTGCCTCTTTAATGTGGGAGAATAATTTTTTTGTGTGGGTTTAAGCCTCATTATTTTGTGCTTTTCACAATATGCTGCTACATCTAATCTCTGCTGACACAGGTGGCCCCTGGTCACAGGACAGGGCACAGCTGATTAAAAATTTCATATACATGGATTTCATTTCATGTACATGAATCATACTTCTGGGTGCTGGGTAGCCTGGCCTGTTCAGGTCCATGTTCATGGGTCCATCATGCTACACTCAGTCACAGAGCACTGGCTCAGTAGGCATCTTTATGATTAGGCCTGAAGTTTCCTCTTTAGCAGCCACAGAGAGTCACAGGGTGGTAATGATCATCTGGTTTAATTCCTTTTATCCCACTTGCCCCTCTGTTTTGGGCCCAAGTTTAGTATCTGGTGCAGGTGAAAATGGAGAATTCAGAGCAATCACCAGGAGTTACTAGGATCTGAAGGAAACCTTGGACTACTGTACCAACAACCCTACTTTGAGCATCAATTGGAGACATGATTACAAGAGTAATAATCTCTCTCAAGTGATTTTGTCTTTGGGTTTCAGCTGCAGGAGGTAGCCTAAGGAACTAGATTTTGATGTGGCTTGTTGAGTCTGACTGTTCTCATCACACATAATCAGAGATTTTTAATTAGCATTGCCAGCCCCAACTGAAGTTGAGTGTGAATCCAGGTTATAATTCCAACAAGCACATTGTAGGCTTTTAAAATTTACATGCGGTGAAATTCACTTTTTTTTGGAGTGTAAAGTTTTATGGATTTTAACACCTGCATTGAGTCTTATAATCATCACCAGAAGTAGGATGTAGAGCAATTCCAGCACCTCAATGACTTCCCTCAGGCTATATGTAGTTTTTTTTAAACAGTCTTATTGAGATGTAATCACATGCCATACAATTCCTCCATTTAAAATGTGCAGTTTAATGGTTTTGATATATTCACAGATATGTACAAACATCACAAGTCAACTTTAGAATATTTTTTTCACCTAACCAATCCTCTCCCAATCTTAAACCACCACCACTAATCTACTTTCTGTCTCTGTAGATTTGCCTGTTTTAATTAGCTGGTAAGCTAATTGGAAATTTCATATATTCATTGATTTCATTTCATGTATATTTCATATACGTGAATCATATAATATGTGGTCTTTATGACTGGTCTCTTTTCCTTAGCATATTGTTTTCAAGGTTCATCCATGTTATAGCATTATTTTTCATGGCTAAATAGTATTTTATTATATGGAGATACCACATTTTGTTTATCTAGTTATTCATTAGTTAATGAATGTTTGGATTATTTCCACCATTTGGCTATTGTGAATAGTGTTGCCATGAATCCTGGGGTACAAACTTTTGTTTGAATACCTGTTTTTAGTACTTTTTGGTATAAATAGGAATAGAATTTTTGGGCCATCTGATGTTTTAATGTTTAGCTTTTTGCGGAATCACCCAACCATTTTCCATATTGGCTAACCCACATTACATTCTCACTGGCAATAGGTGAGATTTCTAATTTTTCTATATCCTTACTCACACTTGTCATTTTCTGGATTGTTGTTTTTGTTTTTGCTGATACTCACCCTAGTTGGTATAGAGTTAATGGTAGTTTTAGGGGGGCTAGGTGAAGTGTGGAGATTTTTGTACTGATTTTTTGCCTGCAACTGATCTAAACTTAACAAAACATAGACTTTCAGAATGAGAGCTATAAAGGGAGGCTGGCAGGGAAAATAAAGCAAAAGGAATTATCTAATAAACACAATGTGAAGAAGAGCAGAATGTTATATGAGCATGATGGGCCCAATGGGTAGTCAGTATATTCAAATTTTCTTACTACTGTGTGCCAGGCTCTGTGTTAAGGTTTAAAACTAGTTTAAAACTAGTCCAGGAGGGCCTCCCCGGTGGTGCAGCGGTTGAGCGCTGGGTTGCGAAGCTGCCCGCAGCCTCTGCAGCGCCGGTTTGATCCCCAGCTGCTCCCCGGCCACTGGAGGTGGGTCCCACATGGCGCGCAGACCTCTCCTGCCACCCGCTGCTCCCCTCAGTAGTGTACTTCGGTCCTTCTGCCTGCTCTGCTCCCTGCTCTGGCTCTGGTGAATTCTCTCGCCCTCCCGCGCTTCTGACTGTACCCAGTGCTTGTATAAATAAATAAATCTTTAAAAATAAATAAATAAAACTAGTCCAGAAGAAGCAGAACCTTTGAGGAGGTGCCTTTTATATCCATAATCTAAGCAACAGGAAGACTTCCTGAAGGTGGAGAGGTGAAAAGTAAAGAAACTATCACTGGATAATAAGCAAAACTAGACATATTTGGGAGGACAACATGCTAGGTTATTTGGGAAATATCCTCTGAATGGTCTGTTTTTCTTTGGCCTCTAGGCTGCAATCTTGATTAGAGTCTGATTACTTTCATTTCCCAAATTGCGATTGGTCGGTATAATTCTTGAGGAAAATAAATCATAGCTAAGACTTTTGTAAATATTGCTAGCTTTTGATTATTTGCAGTAATTAAAGGGGGCATACGATTCAGCATGGCAACCTCTAAACAGCGTTTATATTGACTTTGGAAGATGTTTTTTCTGTTGATTCCCAGATGTGGCTGTGTCAGATGTTCTTCAAACCCACAGGCTCAACCAAATCATGAAACCCTGGGACATGGAATCTGCATTTGTTCAGAATCATGCATTGGTCTAAATAGGACAATTTTCTTTTGACAACATTTCTGTTTCATTTTA